TCAGAGCTGCTATCTCCAAATCCAAGGCTTTTTCAACTATACTATTCTGACTCCTTTGTTGGCATACTTTTACAAGTAGATAGATGCTCCTATCAAAGATGACTGCAAGACAGGAAGTCTATTTGTTCAGAGAGGGTAAAATTTACATCTCCACAACGACCAAACATAACTAAAAATAGAAACAGAGTTGGTAGCCTCTTCTTTGTTATCTGTGACTGTGTGTTTGGAATTAACTACTTTCAGCTATAAAAGAGTTTTCATAAGACATCTAAAACCAGGTAAAACTAAAATATATTAATATGATAAAGCTGCTTCGGAATACAGTTACAAAATCAAACTGGTGACATCAGGAGGAAGATGATGGCAAAAAGACTAACACTAATCTATTAAGACAAGAGAAATGGATGGATTCAGTTGGTAGGATAGAAATAATAATAATGGCTAATATTTATGTAGTGCATTAAAGATTGCAAAACATTTTACATATATTATCTCTGTCACAACACAACAATCTGGAGACTGAGACAATATAACAACCTTTATTTCATATCCCTAGCTCTATATAGATTAAAGTAGTTAAAACAGACAAAACAAAAAGCCCTACAAGTCCTTGAGGGAAGAACTCTATCTCACTCATCTCTGTACTTTGTACAGGTATGAAAGAGTACTGTATACACAGCAGGTAATGAATAAATGTTTACTGAACTGAGAGATAAATTTCAATATATAGATGGCAGAATTTTCTATACTATTTGATGAAAAAAACAGGGAAAACAATGGTACTTCTTCAAACAAAGCATTACTTTTCTCCTCAATCATTCCACAGCTCTTATTGTCCACTGCCTCTTCTCCCTTACCTTCCATGAAAACTATACCGCTGACCTCTCAAATTCTCCACATCCATTTTGGGCTGTTTCTTTTGTTGACTTTGTAGGATTCTATTTCTCTTCCTGTGCCCTAAACACAGTATTACTGAAGGCTATTTTGTCCTCTTTATATTCTCTCCCCTTGGGGAGCTCATCCACTTCCACAATGAAGTATTTCTTGAATCTTTTGTTCCCTCCTTTTCATCCCCACCACTCTAGCTCATTACGTCATACTTGAACCATGGTAAAATAACCTCCTAGTCTTTTCGCTTCAGTCTATTGTTCACACTATTAGCCACATAATCTTAATGTGCTGTTTCCTCCAAGTCACTCCTCTGCTAAAACAAGCAAACAAACCAAAATGTAAGCGGGCCCCTACTACCTACACAGAAAAAGTGATTTCAAAGCATTCAAATCACTCAACTATCAGTAGTTACTGTTACTATAGTAGAAACACCTAAATTCAGCATTCAAGAACATACGAACTATCTAATGCTAACCTATATTTCAACCTTATTTTAAATCTTAACTATTTTCTTTTTGATACTCTACCTTCTGACCAAACTGGACTACTCACCATTCACTATTCTCATACTGTCTTTTACTCCTTAAAATAATAGGATAATATGATTTTACCTGAAAAGTTAGAAATCATTAGTCTAACCCTCTCATTTTACAGCTGAGTTCACTGAAGCACAGAAAAGTGATACAACTCACTTAAGGTGTATAGGCAATAAGTATTAAGGCTGGGATTTGAAATCTAGTCCTTTTTATTTTTTTTAACCACTCCTCCCTACCCTAGGTGCTGATTGTATGACTGCCTCTTCATGTCTCTTAGTTATCAGAGTCCAGTATATATGGGATCATCTCTACCAACAAGTCTTTCCAGATTCCTCAATGGTTGGAAATTATCTTCCCTTTCTTCAATTTTTCATTGTCATTTGTATGGACTGCTCTTTCATACACCAATTAGTGTAATTAGTAGAAATAATGAATTTCTATGTATATCTTACTTCACCCACTAACTGGAAAGATCCTTGAGATCAATGACTATTTCTAACTTGATCCTAGCATACTCAGCTGCCAAAGCAAAATTTCTAGCTCCTGAGAAACGGCATATAGGTCCATCTCCACATTTCTTAATATGGATTATAAAATCTACACCAATCATAAGGTTATGAAACAGTATCATAACACTGTGAAGGAAAAAATATGGCATAACTTGGTAACAATCTATTCATGGTGTGAAAAGGGACAACTCAAAGATAGTTCCAACAAATCTGGTCTGAGAGACTAGAGTGATCATGGACAGAAATGTGATCTTTGCAAAAAGAAGCTGGCTTCTTATTTTTTCAGGGGGTGAGAATATTAACTTCTGTTTGGAGCAACAGGAGTTTGAGATAACAGCCTGAGTTTAATGTCCAGGACTGAAGTACAAGGGAGAGGTCAATCTCTGTTTTGATATATTTTCCTATCCCTTAAATAGCTCATAAACTGTCCAGGAACAGAATTTTAGTTCCAATTAGTAGACATGAAGAAGAAACTAGAAAAGAATTGAAAAAAAAGGAATGCTTAACGACATGAAGTGAAACTGAAAGCAAAAGGAAAACAAATATTTTAGAAGAATAGGAGAAACAACAGTATCAAAGGCCATGTTGAAAGAACTAGATGTCCATCACTAGGTAAGGAGTTAGGACAACTTAGGTTCCAGTCCAACTTCTGACACATTCTGGCTACTTGGCCCTTGGCAAATCACTTAGTTTCTTTTCTTTTCTTTTTTGGGTGAGGCAATCTGGGTTAAGTGACTTGTAAGTGTCAAGTGTCTGAGGCTGGATTTGAACTCAGGTCCTCCTGACTCCAAGGCCACCTAGCTGCCCCAAATCATTTAGCTTCTTAAGTGTCCCCAGGTAACTGGGGACAAATTACAGAACAATTGTAAATACCAATGATCTCACAGTTCAAGCACCCCTAAATATACCAGGTGTCCCCAAAAGTTATGTGTATATATTTATATGTTTCAACATCATTTGGATTAATATTGATTGGATCCATTTCAAAAACTACTGTGTTAGAAACTCAAGGGACTTCCAGCAGCTCTCTCTAAAGGGACAGTGTTTCAATACTGATAGAAGGGAGATGTATTTGGAAGAAAGGCTTGACCTTTATGTAGTTTAATACTAGATCTCGTGGTATACCAAAGAACAATGCAGTTTTGAAATGCTTTTTCAGACTAAGTGAATCTTATAATATTATAGTGAGATTTAAAGCTATAATATGATATTTTTTTTTTTACTAATAACCTGGAAGATGCTTCAGAATGCCTCCAATTTTAGGGCTACAATCCAAGTAACAAAGAGTAAAATCCTGTCATCCATCTACTATAAATATCAGTAACTTTCATGTGAACCCTACATACTGTGCAGAGGTCATTAGATATTTTACTTCATTCCTAAAGATAAAGGCAGCAAAATCCTCTGAAATGTTTGATTGAAAATGACTGGGGGGGAGCTAGGTGGCGCAGTAGGTAGAGCACCAGCCCTGAAGTCAGGAGGACCTGAGTTCAGATCTGGCCTCAGACCAAACACTTGACACTTACTAGTTGTGTGACCCTGGGCAAGTCACTTAACCCCAACTGCCTAAAAATAAATAAATAAATAAATGGATGAATGAATGAATGAATGAATAAAAAATAAGAAAATGACTGGGCACAGGCTAAGAAAAAAGAGACACTATAATAATTAATAGAAATAATAGAGAATCATACATGTGGGAAGAGTGCCTGGAAAATTAATGAATTATCCTTCTCTTTACATGTCTATTCCCTGAAGTAACTATAATTAAAGCCTCATGCTCTGATCAGAGGTGCTCATATAAAAGGGACTGGCTAAGCCTGGCTTCCTGATATGAAGTTTCAGAGTAGTGGGTATATTAAGTAAAGCACAATCTTTAATTTTAGTTAACTTAGACTCAAATACATGAATATTAGTACTCATATACATATTATTGAATAGAGAACATGGCATGCTAAAAAGTCCAATTAGTTTGATGCCAATCTGTTACAGTCTTGCAGGTAATTGGAAGGCTTTATGGCTCATTTCAATCCCCTTAGAACAGTTAATGTATTTCAAGGATAAAAGCTCTATAAAGTAATCAAAATTCAGAAGGGCACAAAGTATACAAAGAAAAATAAAGAATGAAAAAAAAAAACATCCACAAAAAGACAAGATGACATCCAAATATTTAAGAACTTAAACCAAAATAAAGGGCTAGGGTATGATGAGAAATACCTGCAATCCCCAACTGCTAAAGAGGAATATGGGAGTTCTGGACTTTAGTAGGGCTAACAATGCACTAAGTCTAACACCAATATGAAGAACATCTAGGCACAGGGTCTATCAAGCTGCCTAATGAGTGGGTCAAAGCTTCCATGCCAATTACCAGTGGCATGGGGCTGTTGAATTGCTGATGCATTTCTAGCATGGGATGAGATAAGGAGACTAAATCTAAAAAAAACCCAAAAAACAAACAAAACAAAAACCCTCCAGAAAACCAATTAAATAAAAAGGAAGAGGACATAAAAGCACAAAAGGCATTAATGATAATAATAGGCACTGACCTTAACATTTGAACAAGTGTATTAAGAAGAGGTTCATAGACAGGAACCATGTTAAAGCAAAAGAACATACCTCCTTTCCTCTCATATCGAATTCACAAATTTAAGGGCAAACGGATTATAAGAAATCCTAAATTATCAGGATTAGTGTAAATGGATATAGACAAATGAAAATATAATTTATGACATTATATGAATCTCTGGTTGAACCACTAACAATATTAAAAAAAAAACCTAAAGAAACAAGTTTGATTATAGAAAAGAAAATCTGTGATTATTACTATGCTAAAACGACAAAAACAAAAAACCAGAAACACTAGTATTAAGCCAAAACGAAAAAAAAAAATCACTAAGGAAGTTCTATGATGTCTGAGACGAAAAGTCTTAAATCAAAGGCATACATTATTATGCCTAAGTTGACAGATCTGCACTGCAATACAGAAATGCAAGCCAGAATCAAACATCTGCACTAACTCTAAGACTAGACATTGTTCCAACATAAAGGGCAATTTCATTCTTACCTGTTACCTGTGCAACAACTGCTTGGGAAATCCTCCGATTGGCAAGAAAAGCTTTGATTTCCTCTTTTATCACACTACTGTCCCGCCTAAAAAAAAAGAAAAAAAGACCAACACATGTTTAAGTAAAAGTACTAATCTCAGCTAAGAATGGTAAAGGTAGGAAGTAGAGAGGAACAAAACAGAAAGAAGAAAAGGAAGGACAGACCAAACCCATATAAGAATATAAAATTAAAGCAAGAAACATCCCTTTTCCAAGTTAAAAAACATAATACCATCTTACCTAATGCATAATGTACCACCTACAAAGTTTCACTACTGGGGGCAGGAAGGTGAACACAAAGGACCATAGATTTAGCGTGGAAAGCATGTCAGAAGCTATTTAAGCCAGGGGTTCTTAACCTTTTTTTGGCCATGTAGCCCTCTGGCACTATGACTGACACCTATGGTCCACTGCTCAGAATAATATTTTTAAATGCACAAAATAAAATACATAAGATTACAAAAGAAACCAATTGAATTGAATTACATTTACCAAAACATTAAAAAATAAATTCACAGACTACAGGTTAAGAACTCTTGGGCTAGTCCAATCTCATCTTGTTAAAAATGAGGAAGCTGTAGCTGTGTAACCCTGGGCAAGTCACTTAACCCCAACTGCCCAAAAAAAACCAAAACCAAAAAACAACAACAACAAAAAAAACCCAAAACAAAACAAAACAAAAATGAGGAAGCTGAGAAATAGAGAAGTTAATTGACTTGTCCAAGCCAGGAAGCTTCAGAAGCAGGATTTGACCTCAAGTCTTCCTGGCTCTGAGGCCAACACTCTGTCCACTACACCATGCTGCCTCTCAATTTACCACTGACATAAAGACAGAAAACCTATTATGCTGAGGAAAGACAGCAAAATTACATCCTAGATCAGAAAAAACATACATAATTTGTTTTTAAAATTTTAGAAAAATTATGTCTATACACTCATGACTACTAAAGAAAATATTCTCTATTTTAAGAAATCACTTATTCTTTTAATGGTTACTCTTGGGTTTTTTGGTTTAATTCTAATAATTAGGAAAATCTGATTTTTAAAAACTGTTCATCTTCAGAATTTATAACATTTGGAAAACTTAATACCTAAAACTATATCATCTCCTGTGCCACATAGAATTGGAGTTTATGGGTTTGGCTTTCTCTTCACTATCATCCTCTTTCTTTCCTTTTTTTTTTTTTTTTTTTTTTTTAGCCAATTGGGGTTAATTGACTTGCCCACGGTCACATAATTAGTGTTAAGTGTTTGGTCTGAGGCCATATTTGAACTCAGGTCCTCCTGACTTCAGGGTCAGTGCTCTATACACTGCGCCACCTAGCTGCCCCTATCATCCTCTTTCTAAAACAGGTTCCCCGCTCCCCCATATATTCTCAGTAAAGTTGTGAAAATACATTTACATCCATTTTCTTTCATTTTAATGGAATTATATTCATGGTATGACTTTAGCTTCTTCAATGAAACAAAATAACTGATTAAAAATAACTTTTTATATATTAAAAAAACTTTAAATCTCAAGTTGGATTATTTATGCATAAAGGAAATAAAAAAGAAAACGTACATGAACTATAGTGCCTTGTTATAATGTAAGCACTCAAACATTTGTTGAAGAAATAAAGATTGCATTAATTGAAGTAATGCTCAGAATTCAATGATAAGACGACGGAATATGGACAGTTTTTAATTATATAATGAGACAACAATTTGATTTAACTTGTTCAAAAAACTTCAACAAATGGATCACATCCCACAGAAGCATGGATTATATCTAGAACCTTCAGGACCATCTCCATGAATTCTTTAAGGAGGTTAAATAAAAGCAATGCAGTCTGTGAGAATCAATACTAAGTCAGTATAAATCAAGTCCCCAACCATTTCCTAAAAAAGAGCTATTCATTTTCCTAGATGAGATAACTGGGAGGAGGGTGGAATGGAGGGGATGCTTCTAAATGAGGATCCTTGGTGGACAGGGAAAGAAGTACCCTACTTCTGTCTTTCCCTCACAAACATTTACTAAGCTCCTATTATAGGCTGGCCAATGTAGTAGGAGCTACTAAGAATACTGCTACTATTCTACAACTACAACTATTACTACTGCTACCACTATCACCAATGCAACTGAGAGCTAGCATTTATATAATGCCTTAAAGTTTACAGAGTGCTTTGCAAATATTATCTTATTTTATCCTCATAACAACCCTGGACGATAGGTGCTATTAGCCAGAGAGAGGTAAAGTGACTTGCTCGTGTCACAGAGCTAAGTGTTGGAAGCCAGATTTGAATTCAGGTGTTCCTGTCTCCAGGTCAAGCACATCATCTAGCTGCATACAAAGAACGAAATAATCTTCCCTAGAAAAAAACTTATACTCTAATGAGAGAGACAAATATTTTACATATATTTTGATTTATTCTGTATGTACATGCAGACAACCAACACACATTCATATACACAAATACATATATGTAGATACAAAATAAATATAAAGAGAATAATTACCCAGCTGGAGACCCAAACTACATGCTACAGAAGAGGCAATAACTGGAAATCTTTTGGCTCTGAGGTAAGTTTTGAGATATAAAGGGTGGTGCCAACTTACTGGCTGAAAACTAGTGATACAGAAAACCATAGGAGAAAAGACTGCAAGACAGGATTCTCTATTAATATTTAATGTTTATCATGTTGACCTGGCTGTAGTCTATTTAATTTCTGTTTAAAAATCAAATAACCTACATTTCACATTAATATCTAAAATAGTTAAAATTCAAAAGTACATATGGCTATTTTATTAAGTGATGGTATGTTTTAGAAAAAAATCCAGAATGTACAAGATTATGAAAGTTAAATATATAATTTGGATATCTGCTGAATAACTGATAGAATATGGTAAAGGTTCCTTCAAATATCTATAAATGATGATATCTGCTAAAATAGAGATGAATTCATATATATCTATTTCTAAGAGTTTTAAGGTAACTAAAAGCAATCAAATCATTTTTGTTTCCCAACACAGCGGCAACATATCCCCCATTTATTGCTTTACAATATATAATATGTAGGTAGTTTAAATTTCTTGAATATCTATATCTAAATAGTTTTGAGTTATGAAGAATGCATGGTGGGGTAACATCAAAAATGTGTTTTGCAGGGAGAAAAAATGAGCCAATTTAATCTTCCTAACTTATTTAAATCAATCTGCTTTAAACAAAATCCACCCTGACATCAAAACATAGAGAAAAGGCAACTCTCAATTATTCAGGGGTAGAATATCCAGTCTGTGAATTATTCATTGCTTTGCAGAATGATGATGTTATCAATGCCTGCAGGAGCAGGAGCAGCAACAGCAGTCAGAGGATCCCCTAAGACTAGATTTCCAGAAAGCTGGGGATAGGTGAACTACTCTTTACATCACTCCTCCTGTTTTCCCTGAAATAATTCATGGAAATAATGACTTCTGGATGAATGTAAAGGGCTGGGTAGGGAGCTGAAATGGAGCTTTAGTAGTGGATAAGAATCTCTAAAGATTCTACTCCATTTTTCCGTGGAGTTAACATTTTCAGTTTCACCCTCAAATTAATATCACTCCCACGCCCACCTCATTCGTTCTCTCATCTCAAACCTATCCTCCTCTTATTGCACTGTGATTTGGATAAAACTTATTTCAGTGACAACAAAAAAAGTTCCTTTAATCCCAAAACAACTTCTTTCATCCTGTTTCCTTAACTGAAACTTGGCTCTTCCCTGAAGGGACTACATTTCCTATTTTCTTCTGTCAAGCCTCCCATTCCTCTCTTCCTCAAACCTTCTCAGTTGTATCCAAATGAGGGAAGACAAGTGAGGGGGGAAGAGGAATAGAATGTTAAAACTATTGAATAACATCTCCATACTCTTCAATCAGATATTTGGAGGAGAACCCAGAGGAGTACAGATTCAGAGCTAGATTATCTACCCAAAGTCTTTGATTTTACAGCTGAGTAAATTGAGGCTCAAAGAGGTTAGGCGACATGGCCAAAAATTCCAACTTAACATGGTTCATCCTACATTCATAGTAATATCTCACACAATTCCCTAAGCAGACCCTACACTCCACCTAAATTTTTCTATTCATAATTCCTAGAAAATATCTTAAGTTTTCCTACCTCTGATCATACCATTTCGAGGCTTAGAATGCATTTCTACTAGAACATAACCTCCCTGAAGGAAGCGACAGCTACATTTTTATTATTGTTATTATTTTTTTGGTCTTTGTATCCTAGCATGAAGGAGATGTGTGATGCTTACTGAATGGAATTGAATTCTCATCTTATCCCCTATACATCTAACTATAACATACCCATTCATCAGTCAGGATTCAGGGAAAAGGCTACTCCCTGGTCTATATCCATGCCATGCCTTTCACTGTGCCTATCATCTCACCTCTTCCCTGGGACCTATTAACTGGACTCTGCCCCTGGGATTCTAGGCTTTGATAGGTGAGCTTTTGCGTTATCTTGTCCAAGCCTCAGTCCTCCACACCACTTCCATCTGGCTCCACCTTCATGTCATGCGGCCTCATATTTCCCATCTCCCTTTTACATACTTCCTTCTTCAATTAGAATGTAAGGTTCTTGAGGGCAAGTAATATCTTGCTTGCTTATATTGTATTTCTAGGCCCTTAGCACAGTCCCTGATATATAATAAGCACTGATTAAAAGCCATAACTATCATAATATAAAATTTACCTTCATAACAACTCTCGCATACAACCTCTTTTCTCCTCTGACACTGCCACCACTCCAGTGGGCCTTTATCACCTCACACCTAGAGTACTGCAATAGCCTACTGGTTGGTCTCTCTGCCTCAAGTCTCTTCACTCTAGTTATTTTCTACTCAGCTGTCAAAGTGATCTTCCTAAAGTCCTGACCACATCATACCCTCACCCTCTGATTTCCAGCAGCTCCCTATTACCTCCAGGATCAATTATAACATCTTCTATTAGGCGTTAAAAGCCCTTCATAACCTGCCTCCTCTATAACTTTTATACTCTTCTTACATCTCATTACCCCTTACCCCCAAGATCTCTAAGCCTCAGTTTCATCAACTGTAAAAATGGGATAATATCATCTATTTTACAGGGTTACTGCGAGGAATAAATAAGATTAATACATGTAAAAAGCATTTTTCAAACCTTGAAACACTATATAAATGCTATCTATTATAATAATGTGAGTTTGCTTCATCTAAAATCCTCTACTTTCATTCTGCTAATATACAATATATTATTTCTAATTAAAAATGTTGCTGTGACAAATTAAAAGCTACCCTATTTGGGTAATGACCTGAGCCAGAGGATATACAGAATCAACTCACCATTTCAACTGACACCTGTCTGATCCCTTATAAAACTTCCTGCCTCTTCTGTGGAACAATAATCAGTTCTGATCCAAAATTAATTAAGAGCAATAAACCAGGATTTGCAAAAAGGCCTGAACTTACAAAGAAAGGCAGGTCTAAAATGAAATCTGATAAAGTAAAACAAAAGTAACCCAGGTTTACACTTGATTAAAGAGAGAATGAATGATACGCATCAAGTCTACTATGGGCCTTTACTAATGAGATCTAATATTTATATAATGCTTTAAGGCTTACAAAGGGTTTCCCAAACACTATCTCATTTTATCCTCAATAACACTGGGAGGTTGACTGTTTTTATCATGAATCCCATTTTACAAATGAGAAAAATGAGGCAGACAGAGGTTAAGTGACTTGCCCAGGGTCACAAAGCTGGTAAGTGTCTGAAGCTGGTTTTGAACTCTGGCCTCCTTAATGCCAGTGTTCAATGCTCTATCTACTGGCCAGCTTTGTACATAGTATATCAGTCCGTTTTCAAGAATATCAGTGGGTTTTCTACCTCTGTATAATCAAAGGGTCACGGGATAATTTGAGGAAAGCTAATTGTTAGTAAATTATTTCTTATATTAAGTGAAAACTGCCTTCTTCAAATTTTCACTCATGAAGAGGAAAAAGCATTGAAAATTATTATAAAGTGCTACATAAAAATGGATGGTATTATAGAACTAGAAAGGACTTATCCAAGGTCACACAGTTAAATATCCCAGGTCTCTTAATCCAGTATTCTTCTACCAGATCACTTTGCCTCTCCATAAGTAATTACTGCTTAACACACAGATAATGTAATTTCCTATACAAAAAGACATTTTTCCAACCCTACAACACAAAATGCTACAGGACTGCAAGTAATAAAAATCTGAAAGATAACCTTTTAATTTTGTTTAAAAGTACAAAAACTAAGGAAATATCTATAAAGAATATCCTTCCTTCTTTTTCACTCTCCAATCAGATACAACAGTAGTCTAGACCTAGTCTCCCCAATTCCAAAACACTTTCATACTACTTGATTTAAAATTATTTTCTTTAAAGTTATTCTCTTCAATCTATTTACTGTCAAATACAAAGCTGCCTTTTGTTCATATTCACATTTTCTTAGGCACCCAAGCTCACACAGAACTGTTTTTGGCTCCTCTTTAACCCCACATGCAATCAAGTCTTGTTGAGTCTATTTCTGAAAAGTCTTAAGTCTTGGTCTCCTTAACTATTCCCACTGTTATTACCCAGGTTCAGGACACCATTACCACTTGCTGAGACTACAATAATGATTTATTAAATGTTCTCTTCACCTTCAGTCTCAACATACACACAATCCCTCCCAATCATCCTATATATTCCTACAATATTAAATTCAATTAAAAATTTTGTTATTAAATATCTACTATGCACCAGGCATTTAATTTTAGTAATACAAAATCCTGGTTATGTCATGCCCTTTCCCAACATCCAGCAGTTGGAATACTTTTATTTCATCTAACTAAAGGATAAATCGCTATCTAAAATCTGAAGTTTTATTTACTCATCTTAAAGGATAAATTACACAGTCCTAAAAGTAATATTATGTCAAGACACAATGTTATTTACAAAGAATTTCATGGGAGTTCTGAAAACAATATCAATGTAATGTAAATTTATCATCTTGACTAACCTCATCAATTCCTCCACTTTATCATCTACGTCTAGGTCCTCTTCTGAGGCTTCAAAACTGTATGATCTCTGACCCATGCTGTTTGCATGATAACGAGTGGGAGACATCTTTCCATTCGAAGTGGACAACCTTTCATTACTTTCCCTCCCATTTTGATTAGTAGTACAAGGCTGTGGGGAAGTGTCATAACTGTTGCTGGGTGATGGGGACATCCCCGAATGTTGGGTCTGTGTGGAAGCTGTAGCTGTAGAGGAAGATGCTGGGACATTGTTGGTACTATTTCCATAGGAACCACCTCCATAGCTGGGCCTTCTCCCAAATTTGTCATTATGTTCTTGATCAAGACGATCCAAAGTTTCCAAAGCATGGAGAATTTCATGTTTGGTCATTCCAGTACGTCGAAGGCGCTGAAGCAGGTCTATTTGCTCTATAGTAAATCTGGGTTCATCTGTGTAGTGAGACATGGTTTCCAGCAAACTAAAGAAAAAGTGACAAATAAAAATAATTATTTATGTTAAATTACTAGTCACACAGTATAACAAAGGATGCTTTAAAAAGATGGAATATATGTTCAAATACAATTATGTAACCTTTTGTTTAAAATATTATCTAAAATTCTTTCATATAGTGAATGAAGAATATTAGAGAGTGAGTTTCCTGTGGTTGAAAACACATGAAAATTTAACATAATAAAGTGTTAAATTTTGTATTTTCCCCAATTTTAAGATATATGAATAAAAATCAACTATAAAAACAAGCTTATAATCATTTCAAATGAAAGTAATTTAAACTACCCAGAGAATGATTTTATACCCCAAAGAGGACTTTTTTTTTCCACCTCTAACTTGTAGTTTTAGATTAAAGGAATAACAACTAATAATCAAACAACTTGGATTCGTAATGATTTTTTACATATCAATTATCAACAGAAACTTGTCCTATCATCTTCATTATAAGAGAAAAAAAGACTTTAAGCAAACTATCATTTTAAGTAAAAACTAATAGCCAATACAGAAACATTAAAGGAAGGTATGGTAATGAGACCCAGGAGGCTTATCATGTGTCTTATCATCCAATCCAATGAGTAGATTCTTAAATCTACTCTTTTTCGACTCATTCATTCTTTTTGTAAAATTGAAAAAAAAAAAAGAGCTTCTGAGAGAGAGAGAGAAAGAAAGGGAGAGTGGAGGAGAAAGCATTTCTAGCTTTTTGGAAATTACTTCCACAGCTAAGGTTTCCTTTAACCATCATTGGGTAGGGGCAGCACATCCAAAAATATCTCAGTAAATATTCTTTTCTCTATATATACAATATATAGCCTAGGCAACATGTCTAGCACTAAGTAGAGATTCTAATAGAGCAACAAAGTCTCATTTCTAAATATCACAGAATTCCCCTTGCTTTCTAATTGTATAGGGATCGCAATAGAAATACTGGCCTGTAAACTGGCTCAGGTTAAAGTTCTGTACCGATTTTATGAATAATTAATATTCACATACGTATATTCTGAATCTTAGTTTTATGCTTCAGTTTCTTTTTCCTAGAAATCAACTTCTCCCAGCTCCTATGTCTACTGCACTTTATGGAAATGTCTTATGCTAGGCCAAATTGGGAGTATATTCCCTTAAGATAACGATAAACACTCCATTGAAGGTCCTAAGACTCAGTGGTACTTTTTCTATCTTGTAGTAGCTTTTCCCCAGCATACTGGCCTCAGTGGAAAACCCCAAGTGGCAGAATATTTTTTCTCCTGCCCTGGAAAGGAATGAAACACCTTTGCCTCAGTGGAAAATGAAGTGATTCTGAGTTGGGACAGTCATCCTCACCACTGCTGTGCATTCCCAGTTATGCAATGGGACCTACTACAGAACACAGTAGTCAGTAGGGTAGGGCTTGGGGTGACCTCTGTGGCTAATAAGGTTGTAAGATAAGGGGTTGCAAACTCACCTGGATGTGACCACTGCACATATTTCTTATTATTATACCTTCACACACTCTACAGTCTGGTCAGTCTGACTGGCTAGCTCTTAGAAGGCATTTTATCTTTAGTCAAAGCAGTTGCTATGTCCCTATACACTCCCTCCTCAAATGAACTAGGAAAGGAGACTGTATACAGAAGGAGCGAGTATTCAATTAGTCAGTAAGTATTTGGTAAGCACTTACTTGCCAGGCAACTGTGCTGAGTACTGGAGGTACAAAGAAAAGCAAAAAAAAATAGTCTGTGGTGAGAGAACCAAGTGAAAGCAGTGTCTCAAAGAATTAACAAAAGAGAATATCCAGGACAAAGCCTTCAACAGTGTCAAAGGTTAGAGAGGTTAAGAAGGATTAAGACTGAGAAGAGGACAATTAGATTTCGTAATTATGTAATCATTAGTAACTTTGGAGAGTAGTTTCTGTTAAAGGATACAGCTGGAAGCCAGATTACAAAGGGTTTAAAAGAGAGTGAGAGAAGTCACCAAGAGTAGATGGCTTTTTCAAGTTTAGTTAAGATGCGAGGAGAGAAGAGGAGCACAAACAGGCAAATAAGAAGAAATAGGATGATAGTGGAAATGGCAGGATCAAGAGGATCTTTTAATGATGAACTTAGGATGAATTCAGGAATAATTTTTAATGATTAATTTGATGATGGTAGGGTCAAATGAGGGTTTTTTAATGGTAAACTTAGTATGAATATATACTTTAAAAAATTCTCACTTGAACCTAATCTCTATCAGCTATAACATACTATCTCTTCTAACCCATCTCAGCTAAATTTGAAAAAGCCACACCATTAAAAACTGAGATTTGAGAGTGTTTGTAGGTTGCGGAGGGAAGAAATTGGTAGATTAGGGAGATACTGAAGATTACAGAAGGGAGATGAGAGAATATGGAGAAAACAAGGTAAGAGAGGATCAAGGAGATACACACACACACACACACACACACACACACACACACACACACACACA